ACAAGTGCACAGAAGCACGTCTGTAATATTTAATGGTTTCTACAGCATCTCTTTATGTCATTGCAGCCATTTTTAAGCCCAGAGCTGCAGAGGACCGTCAGTGATGCTAATTATTAATGACTGTTCATACAGCCAGGACCAGAAATATGTGGACACTGAAGGCTGCAGTTTGACATACGAGTGTTTAACATGAACACAGGTATGAATCCAACACCTTCCAGTGTGGACTCTGTGTTGGTTCTCTGGTTTCCTCCATCAGAATCCTGCATTTCTGTTGTTGGTGTTAAAGAGAAGCATATTCTTATGAAGGCACGTGACGCATTCACCTGCTGCTCAAACCTGTTTGAGAGCGGTGGCCAATCAGTAGAAGTGTGGCTTAAAGGGGGAGGAGCTAAAACAACTTGTTTCAGACCACTGGCAGGCTTATTTTGAGCTGTGCAGTCAGAAATAAACAACAAACACATCCACCAACTACAAACAACTCAAAGGAACTACTTCCTGTCTGAACTTTTAAGGCACAAATAAATGTGTAAAAGAACCACATGAAGAGTCCCGTGCATTTGGTGCACAAAACTATCCAATCAAAAGCTGCAGTTTCAGAGCCACACCGACGACCCTCCTCGTGTCGAGTCGTGATGCAGGAAGTGGGTCAGACACTGAAAAGTGCCGAGTCACAGCTTCACGGTCCTCAAACATCCACTGAGCTCTCAGTGGAAGAAGCCGGACTCGTCAGCAGATACACCAACTCATCTAACAGAGAAGAAGACGTGTTTAAAGAAGATTCAGAGACTGAGCAGCAACTTCAGGGCTTCAGGAAACCAACACTGAAGCACCAAAACCTGCAGTTCCTCTGGCGTCCAGCAGGGGCAGCAGCGAGTCAGTCCCACAGACTCCCGTGTTAAACAGCCTGATACACAGACTGGTCTCTGTGGGGAGTTTCCTCCTTTATAGCAGCTGTTTTTATTACTCACATTACTTTTAATGACACTGCTCGATCAATAACACGGCGAGGTCACTGTCGTCTATTCACAACGTTATCGACGACTCATCCAGGAGCTCCCAGAACAGACCTGCAGGCCTCGCTCGGCTCAGCTAAGGTCAGAGGTCAGGATTCACCAATAACAAAGAGACGGAGCAAAAACATAAAGGCTCACATCTGCTGAAGAAACATCCGGATAGGACGAGAACAAGGGCGGTGTGGATAACAGCGCACTGAGGAGGCTGCTGATTGGCCGAGAATCTGAAAGTAAAGTTCCACAAAATCCCAAAACAGTGACAGCAGCTGTGTGTGTGTGTCTGTGTGTGTGTTCCTGTCTAGCTATCTTTGTCAGGACTGAAATCTGCATTCTACTACACCAGAACTAGAGATGGACCGATCCGATATTACGTATCGGTCCGATACTGACGTAAATTATATATCGATATCGGAGAGAAATAAAAAATGTAATCGATCCATTAAATATAAAAAAGCACCTCACAAAACTTGCAACGCGGCGTAACTCGGCTCATAACCGTAGCACGTTGCAGCAGTATGCATCACGTGATAGAGCCACTGTGTGTATTTGTAGCATCGCTACCAAACCAGCATTTCATCTCTGAGGAAGTTTTCCCAGAGAGAAGTAAAGCAAGTGTGTAAGTTCATCTCTGAATGTTTGTAAAGCATTCCCA